TTATAGACTCTTGATATAGATACAAGCAAATCTAATTAAATCTATTTAAAAAAAAAATCAACACAAAATTGGGGCCTCCCTGATGGTGCAAGAGGTTAAGTCGCAGCACTGTGAAGCTATCTGCAGCCATTTGAGCATGTATTCAATCCCTGGCCAGGGAGGTAACCCACTTGGCGCAGCAGACCTCACCTGTCTCTCCTGCTACTCCCCTTAGCAGTGTATTTCAGTAGATCTGTCTGTTCTGCTCCCCACTTGTCTCTGGTGATTCCTCTTACCCCCACCCTGTACCTCTGACCTGCACCCCAGTTCTTGTATGCATAAATAAATAAATCTTTAAAAAACACACACACACCCCTAATTTTAAACAATGAAGGAGTTACAGCCAGTAATGAACATCTAGGCCTCTGCAAAAATGACCACAACACTTTCTCCCACCCCTTTGTTTTCCCCTTTACATCTTGACATTGTCTTTGAATCTAGGCCAGTTCTGCAACTTATTTGACCAGTGGAATGCAGTAGAAGTAATGTGTGACTTTTGCATCTAAGCTGTAAGAGGCCTTCTTAGAATGATGGTGTGACCATCATTCGTGCCAAATGAATGCAACTTTATGAGTAATTCCCAGTAAGACCAGCAGAAAAATATGTTCAGCTTTGCTCAGGCAAAGTTGCTGGCGCACAGCATCGTAAACAAATGAAATAGTTTTTGTTTTTAACACCACTCCCAAGAAACCCCATAAACAAAATTAAAATGTGAATGACAAAATGAGAGAACATTTCTAGCACTCTACTTAAAATCAACTTTAAAAATATGCGTAGTGATGAAAATGTTCTAAAACTGGATTGTGATAATGGTTGCATAACTTATGTAAATTTCCTTAAAAATCATTGAATTAGTACACTTAAAATAGGGGGATTTTATGGTAGTTAAATTATATCTCAATAATGCTGTTAAAAGTTATACATAAATGGCCTCCCTGGTGGCGCAAGGGGTTAAGACACAACCTATGAAGCTATCCGCAGCCACTGCACCACAAGTTCTATCCCCGGCCAGGGAGCTACCCACATGGCACAGCAGACCTGTCCTGACTCGCCCGCTGCTCCCCTCAGCAGTGTATTTCATCAGTCTGCCTGTTCTGTTCCCTGCACTGTCTCCAGTGAATCCTCTCACCTTCCCGCACATCTGGCCTGTAGCCCAGCTCTTGTATAAATAAAATAAATCTTTAAAATATATATATATCAAATTATTGTGTTTATCATTGTAACATGATAATATATTATATATATATTTTATATATATTATATTATATTATATATATTATATTATATATAATATAATTATATATTATTATATATTATATATATTATATTATATATATATTTTTTCCTTTTATTTTTCGGCTTCTCCTCCCCCCTTCCCCCGTTGCCAATTATATTAAAAATTCCATATGTAAGACTGGAAAGACTAGAAGACTGCAAGAGACTGCATCAAACCTGGCTGATTGGATTGTAGATAACTGTTATTTTCTCTTTACTTTTCAGTCTTTAAATTTTCCTGATTACCATGTATTCCTTTTGTAAATTTAATTAGTTTTTTTAATAATAAAAATAATTCAAGTGATGTGAACTTTTTTCATGAGAATGTTTTTTTTAAGGCACTTGATACATATTGCAAAATTGCCCTCCAGGAATGTTGTGCTAGTTACATGCCCAACGGCAATGTACACTTTCATTTTTTAATTCAATCTAATTTTATTTTAGTCTGCTCATATTTCTAATCTTATTATTATCCCTTTTTATGATTTCTTTAGGGTTCCAACACCTCCCAATTTAGTGTTCTCATTGAATTTCATTAGCAGCTGTTTCATTAGTAGCGCAGAAGGATTAAAGTGTTAACTAAGATAGACTTTAACAAAAGCCTATAAAAATGTATATTATTAACTTTGCATAAGTCCTATTTAATCAGAGTTCCTCAGAAACCTCTATTTGGTACTTACCTTTTTAAAAAAAAAAAAAAATTATTTATTTATTTATTTGTAGAAGAACTGGGGTGTAGGCCAGGATGCAGGGAGTGAGAGGATTCACCAGAGAGAGAGTGGGGAGCAGAACAGGCAAATCTACTGAAATACACTGCTGAGGGGAGCCAGGAGAGGTCTGCTGCACCAGTATGTGGGGTAGCTCCATGGCCTGGGATGGAACTCAGGCCCTTTGCAGTGATAATGCTGAGACTTAACCCCTAGACCACCATGGAGGCCCCTATTTGATACTTATCTTAAGGAACAGAACTGGCCACTGCTGATATTCTAGACCTTGGTATTTGGAGTTCTGTCTCAGTGGGATGGCACGTTTTGTGTCTGGATTCACATCATAACCAGGCCTAATGAGGGTATATGTAGGTTCATTTCAGTTCACTGCCCTTTGCTTTCACTCTCCCACCAACCTAGGAATCTACCATCAGATTGGTTACTTGATTATTTGATAAACCTACAGATTTCTTGTTTTGTTAAATAGCTACCAGAATAGGTATATTCTGGAAGTATTATGAATGAATCCTTTTTTCTTTATTTGATTATCATTTTAAATGTACTAGGGATATTAGTGAGGTATTCTTTTGTTCATATAATCACCCCATCTTTTTTGTTTGTTTTGTGCCGAAAATGTCACATCTTAAATTTGTTTGAAAGGTACATACATATTCTCAATTTCTATTATCTCCACTACTAGATGACTAATGCAAAATAGTGAATAATTTTTTTAAATCAATACTTAATTTTTTAGAAATAGAGACCCAATTCTGGCATATTCAGTCCTCTCAGTTGCTGGGCCTTCTTCTGTTAGAGAATAATCTATAAATAATTCACGAAGCTGACATTACTCACTGTATTGTGATCATTTTTTTTCTGGGAGAATTTTAGCAACTGTTCTAATATAGATTGCCAGTTATCAGTAGTTGGGAATGCAAGTCAACTTTTAATTATGCAGAGGCTGATTATTCAGACTACAAACTGTTCATGCCCTGTATGCTCCTTCCTGCTGCCTACCTTTTAGCATTTTCACTGCTCATTAGCACATGTACCAGAAGGTAGGCATTGGACAAGGGGAGAGAAGGATGGGGAAAATCAGTTAAGCACATAGGAGAAGCTTTGATGAAAGATTTCAACACATTTTGTAGGATTGTTGACTAAAATTGTATCATTTGGATTCCCAGTGAATTTTATTTACTTGTTCTATTTTTGTCCTCCATAGCAACAGATAATAGAATTGTCAGCAGAGAGACAGCAATATTCTTATTTTAATGCTTTCCCTTCTAGAACATTTTTTACATGATGGTTCATGATACTTTCTCTATTTGTTACATTTGTAACTAGATAACTTTATTTCTTTGGTGATTGGTGTATTGAGATTCCTAGCATACACCTCAAATATCTAATGGTTTTCTGGAAAACTGAAAAGTATCCCTTTATGTCCCAGTGTTTCAGTTTTGTTGGAAATAAGATTTCCTCATGTTCAGACCAGTAGCTTTAGCCTTTCCAGATGCCCAAGGCTATCTTATACAGTGTATATTCCTGGGATATATGTGGTAAATGCAAAAAACCCTTGCAGGTATGCTGTCAGTCTAGGAGTCTCTGGTTAAGTGAAATGCTACAGTTGTAGTAAAACTCAAGTGGTACTAGTGTTTTTATTTCCCCTAAAGCTGTTATATAAGTTTTCTGCCTTTTTTTAAGTCTGTAACCTCTGTTACATTGTCTGAAAACCTGCCTTTTACTGGCTCTCTGTTTCTGAACTGTTGTGGGCGAGAAACTAAATAACCAAGCTAGTTAGAACTGTGTCTAAAATAAGAGCAAGTTAAGACAAAATACGCTAGCCAGGAACCCTGCACAAGAGTACAGAGAACTCACATTTGAATTGAAGTGCATGTGCTTTAGTGCAGAATCAGCCTCCCTGCTTGGGGCCTTTTTCATCTTTCCTTACTTATTTTCAGTCATGTAGTTAAGTTGCTTGATTAATTGTGTTTCAAAGAAGAATTTGGGACATGAGACTGTCTGGATGAAGCTAGTACATAGTGTTTTCTAGTGAGAACTACTACTGACTAATTCCCTATAAAGTTGGGACAAAGGGTACAATGAACAGGTCACATAAAAAATACTGATTTTTTTAATGTCTTTTCAACCAAAGTACTAATCAGGTTACCAGTCCTATTAACCACCCAAAGACTAGTTAATCAAAAACACTTGAATGCTGAGTAATATTCCATGGTGTGTATGTACCACATCTTCTTGATCCAGTCATCTATTTTTGGGCATTTGGGTTGTTTCCAAAGCTTAGCTATTGTAAATAGTGCTGCTATAAACATAGGGGTGCAGGTGCTCTTTGGAATTGATGTTTCTGGTCTCACTCATAGCAGGAATCTAGAAAACTTAAATAAGGGACCAGGAAAAAGAATAACTATAAGAAAGAAAATATCAAAATCAACAAATAACTATGAACAAGAGACACTCTACAGGGGTTGGGGGATGGGGGTGGGGAAAGGAGGGCTTGGGGTAAAAATAAAGGGGTTGTAATTGTATGGGGAATATAAAAATAAAATTTAAATAAAAAAAAAAACACTTGGACTGTAAAGTCTTTGGGAAATAACCTCAACAGGTACTCTGGTTTCTGTATCCTCATGAACATTATGAAACTATCCAGAAAGTTCCCTACTGACAACTTTTTTTTTTTTATAAATTCTAATCCTTGCCTTTTTTTTTTTTTTTTTTTATGGTACTAAGACACAGTGGTTAGGTTCCAGGAGCCGATGGACTTTTCATGTGTTCATTTGTTTTGCTTCCTGGGGACCAGTTTGCTGTGAGTCATGTCCCATCTGATTTATATCGGATCCAGCTGTGGAGTTGTGACTTAGATGGGCGTCAGGCCCGATTGCCCAGCTCCTCTTCTGAGGAATGGATGGCAGGGCCAGGACTAATGTCCTTACACAATTTTCCTTATTCTTCTTGCCCTTTCAGGATCTAAAGAGAACATCATTACTGACAGTTGGCAGGTACGCCTTGCCACAGGCATCTTCCCTGTTGTCAGCCTCCTGAACCATTCCTGCAACCCCAACACCAGCATGTCCTTCATTAGCACCATCGCCACTTTACGGGCATCAAAGCTGATTGGAAAAGGTGAAGAAATTCTCCACTGCTATGGTGAGACATCCCTCCTCACTACTGTCTTCCCTTCTCCAACAGAAAAGGACAGGGTAGATTACAATGAACAACCACTGGGCAGCTGCCTTCATCTGTCTAGTGCTTATTTCCTGGAACAGGCAGTGCATACTTAGGCAAAAAGATAGGCCTTCTTAGTAGGGATCTATTGTGACTTACCATGTATCTCACTGCTTAGCCCCTATAAACTTCCTTTTCTGAAAATGGGCTAGGAACAACTTTTTTACCCTGAAACTTAGAAATTTAGTTCTGTATCTTGTTCCACAAATGTTTGCAGAATGTTTACATGATGAATACTTAACCAGGCCCTCTGCTAATCTTGAGGGTTTTTTTTTTTTTAAGATTTATTTATTTATACAAGTACTGGATACAGTCAGAAGCGTGGGAAGGTGAGAGAATTCACCAGAGACAGAGCGGGGAGCAGAACAGGCAGAAGGACCCAAGTACACTGCTGAGGGGAGCAGTGGGCGCGGCAGGAGAGGTCTGCGCGCCGTGTGGGACCCTCGCCGGCGGCCGGGGATCGAACTGGCGCTGCAGAGCCTGCGGACTGCTTCGCAGCCCAGGGCTCAACCACTGCGCCACCAGGGGAGGCCCTAATCTTGAGGCTTTTTCAGCCATGCTTGATCTCTTTTGCTTTATTTTTTTTTTAGATTTATTTATGCATACAAGAACTGGGGCGTAGATGAGAGGTGCGGGGTCAAGGAGAGGGGGGAGGTGAGTGGACTCACCAGAGAGAGTGGGGAGCAGAACAAGCAGAGCTACTGAAATACACTACTGGGGGGGATCAGCAGGTGAGACAGGAGAGGTCTGCTGCACCATGTAGGTTGCTTTCTGACCAGCAAGCCAGGGATCGAACTCGTGCTGCAGTGGCTGTGGCTGGCAATAGCTTGATAGCACTGTGTCTTTAACTCCTGCGCCACCAGGGAGGCCCTTCTTTTGCTTTAAATATTGACCAAGTGTGGTCTCTCTACAGGGCCTCACAAGAGCAGGATGGGTATTGCTGAAAGGCAACAGAAGCTGAAGTCTCAGTATTTCTTCGACTGCAACTGCTCAGCTTGTCAAAATGAGAAGCACAGAATCACTGCAGGGCCCAGGTGGGAAGCATTCCGTTGTAACAGTTGTCAAGCGCTTATGCAGGTGAATCTCTCTTCTTTCTCTTCTCTGCTTTTCCTGGATGCCAGTTATCCAGGTCAAAGGCCACAAATTGTTAGGAAGAAGCCATTGTGACTTACATGTACAGAGAGCAGTATTGTCTCTTTGCTTTTAACCCATCTTGCCCACACATTGATTACCCCACTGCAGCAACCACAGGGAAAGATTGGATTTAGTGATTTTCCTCTTGCAAATAACAGAAAATTCAACCTAAATTGATTTAAGGGGGATTAATAAGAATGGGAATTTATTTGCTCAAGTAATCAATGAAGTTCCCAGGATAGGGATACTTGAGATACAGCTGGATCCAAGGGTTTAGATAATGTCACCACCAAGACCCAATTTTTCTCTCTTAGTCCCATTTTTCTCTGTAGCAACATTTTCTCTGTTAGTCCCATCCTCACACAGACTTTCTTCTTGTTGTGGGAGTATAGCTGCCAGGGGTTGCAGCTTTATATCCTCCCTGTGCTATTCTAACAGCAATCTGGCCAAAAATTTTATTGTTTTATTGATTTGATAACTATAGCTGGAAGAATATCAGAGCCACGTAAAGATTTCCTCCAGTCATTTGGGCCAGACAGATGGGCCAGATCTGAGCCACATGTCCACCTCTCTGCCTGTGGAGGTACTGCCTATGGAAGGTGGGAGAGGAGCCGCAGGAGAAATCAGGCTGATATCACCAAATGTGGACATATGTATAAGCATCTGAAAATCAACAAATGTCCACCTCAAGGTTTCCTGTGCTAGAGGAGACAGTATTCTTCAGGGAACCATAAGTGAAATGTAGAGCTGGTTGTACTGAAAAGCTGAAGTTGCAAACCCAAAGTCAAATGGAGAGGCCTTACCTACCATCTCTTCCTAAGGGTTTTTTTGTTTGTTTTGTTTTGTTTTAGCATCACAGTGGTGATAGCACTGAGACTTAACCCCTAGGCCACTAGGGAGGCCCTTTCCTAAGGGTATTCTTATGGTTTTTCATAACCATCAGAAAAATGTCTGACATCCAAAGTCCTGGCCTCCAGCAAAGTAAGAAAGGTGTTGTAGAGATGGAAAGAAATTGCATACTGGACTAGTTTGGTTGCAGGAATTAAATCCCAAGGTGGGATCAGCGAATGTTTTCATTAGAAATGCTGCTGTTAAAAAAAAAAAAGAATTGCTACTGTTAAATTCAGCGGGGCTTTGGTCACGGTGTATATTGCAGGAGTCTCTTTCCCCATAGGGTGAGAAGCTAAGGGACAATCCTATAATGTACGTACAAGCTGTATTGCTGACTACTGTGGTTTAGGAATAAAAACAAAACTGACTTCCACAGGGAAATGATGTGCTGAGCTGTGGCAACACGTCTTGTTCGGCGTCAGTCAGGAGAGATCACCTGGTCTCTCGGTTACAGGACCTTCAGCTGCAGATTGGGATGGCCCAGAAGCTTCTTAGAAATGGCAAACTAGGTGAGACTGGCTTCTTGCTTTGATCCTCCAGCCCCCTCCCTTTCATTCATTCTGAGATCACCTTGGACTCAAGGATACTCAGTGATGATTGAAGAATTGAATTATCCCCATGCCTACCACAAGATGGCTATGTAGGCCAGTGAGATTAAAACCTAACTAGCTCAGTTAGCGTGGTGTCCTTGAAAAAGGGCCAAATGATCGCTGACCTCTGATGTATGTGATGGCTATGTTAAAGTACCCCATGATGACTAAAGGGTTATTTCTGACATGTAAGTGTTTGTGCCAATCCAGAAGTACAGTGTCATTTATTTTGATTCCAGGCCTAGTGACCTAACTTCCTACATTGTGCTGCCCTCATCAGGGCCTCATCTCTCTTCTAGAGAGGAGTGGAGCGGTGCCTAATGGATAAAAACGTCCTGCTATTTTCAGGGGGGGAGCTATGGAATTCCTCATTACCCTTGAAAACTCTGCCTTGGAGCTTGCCATTGTGGTAATTTACTTTCTCTACTTTGGGAAAGTTGACCTTTAGCTTAGATTTCTGAGTCAAGAGAAATGGCTGAAGTAGAATGTAGTCATTCCACTTCAAACTGCAGTTAGAAGCCTAGAATAAATATAGGGAGCCCTCATCTAGCACTTTTTTCTATTGAAAGGGAACAACAGCTTTGTTGGGACAAACATTGTGAGCTAGTGACAACTTGAGGAGACAAAGGGGGATTTCCATATTCATTCCAGCCAAGATAGAATTTCAAAGCTAGGTTCTCATTTCTAGTACTGAGTTCATATCTTAATGAGGCTACTTTTCTTTGAATTAATAGAGCCAGCTATTCAGCTATTGTTGGGGTGCCAGCATGATGCTGAGAGCTTCCTCTCAGCTGAACACACGGTGGTAGGAGAAATTGAAGATGCCCTGGCCCAGGCCTATGCTGCTTTAGGTATGGAATGTGTCTACATTTTCTGCTCTGAGGAATAGATCTGCAACCAACGTTGGTGTGCTGGTTGTGACCCTAGCCTCCTGGGTTGTTACCACTTACCCTTTCAATAGAGGCTGCTCTCCCTTCCATTCAGCTTTCCTCCACCTGAAAGTGTTCACCCACAGTTAAGAGTGGTTCTTTTCTGGAACCAGATTTCTCTTTCCTTGTAGGGAACTGGCAAAAGTCAGCTATCCATCTACAAAAGAGTCTCCAAGTGGTTGAGGTTCGCCATGGTGCATCCAGTGTTGAAATGGGTCATGAGCTCTTCAAACTGGCACAAATCTTTTTCAATGGGTAAGCTTTTCTCTTGTCTCCTAACATTTCACCAGGACACATGCTGTTCTTTTATTAGGCATTTCTGTGTATTACTTTTTTTCTATAGTGTTTTTAGAAACTTCTTTATTTCCCCTTTAGGAGAGATCCTTCCCTTCTGTTTTGCTGACAAATTTGAAGCTTTAGAACTTCCTCCTGAGAGATATGGGGAAAGTTCTCAGCTCTGAAGGGAGTTTCCCAGGGAGAACTGGCCAAGCAGCCAGCCCCACCACCCACCATCGTAGCAGTCCTTCCAATCGTCCCTAGCTAATCACTCCTCCCTTGCTGTTCTCATTCCCAGCACCCTCAACTTGGCACTGGCTCTTCTTTCTCCTTAGTCCAGATCCTTTTAAAGCAGGTGTTTTCAACCAGTAGTAATTTTACTCTCTAGGGGACATTTAGCATGTCTGGAGATATTTTTGATTGTCATAAGTCAGGATAGATGGGAATGTAGAGACCAGGAATGCTGTGAAACATCTTACAATGTACAGGACAATCTCCCAAGCTAAGAATTCACTGACCTGTAATGTCAATAGTGTCATGGTTGAGAAACCTGATCTTAAGGGTTATTAAAAGGAAAAAACAATAAGTTTGATGAGTTGATGTGTCATCTACTTTTGTAACTAAGATCACTAAGAGATCCTACTTTCAGTATTTCTAAATGGAATATGTCCAACCTTGGTTGTACATTGGTGTGAAAAGGTGTTTGAAGCTTGATTCCAAGATTATGAATGGTGGGTAAGCCTGATACTTGAAACATAGGGGCAGTCCATTTGGTTAGAGAAAGAGAAAAAGGCTGCAGAATTAGGTCAAGGTATACTTGGTTACCCTAAATAAAGATTCCTGAGTAAACCTTGGGATGTATATCAAGTTAATTACTTTGAGATTTCTCTATTTCTCAGAATCTGTATATCTTTATACTTTTTTTCATAACTCTGTTCTGAAACTCTGCCATGTTGGGTGTTTGTAAAAGTGTCTAATCTGCCCATCTAGATTGTGAGAGCCTTGAGGACAAAAATGACCTTATCAGCTCCATATTCTTCAGAGTCTGTGAGTAGTGCTTAAAGTTTGTTTGGTTGAATGAGTGGATTCATTTCTCTTACTTCCTTTGGTTCAGGTTTGCAATAACCGAAGCACTGAGCACAATACAAAAGGCAGAAAAGGTTCTATTGGTGCACTGTGGCCCTTGGAATGACGAGATCCAGGAACTACAAAAGATGAAATCCTGTTTATTGGACTTGTCATCCACCTCTGTGGGACCTTCCGTGTAGGGTGTGCCCAGGGGAACTTAAACCCACGGGAAAGGAACCCATGGAAATTAAAGAGGTTCTGTTGCTGGTGAGCTGTTACTGGGAACTAGAGGACTTGCCTAACTATCAGTCTAGTGCTTGAGGGGAGGGAGGACTTGGAAAGTATTGCAGTTAGAGAGAGACACTTGCCTGTTTTGATGACTGTTTCCTGAAATAGTTAACCACCCCCCAGTAAAAATCCCAGTTCCCAGAAAAGATGGAAGACTAGTCTCTGGAGAGCCTAAGCCCTTGAAAAGGATGTCAACTGATCTGCAGGCGTCTGCATGTAAGCTGGGGTGTGGTTAGACTCCATCTCACTACATGATGATAGTCAGGTTCCCTGGAACATTCCTGTGGCTTCTAGTATTGAGGAAATGTTGTGTACCACTCCAGGGGGAGCTTAAACTCTTAGTACTTGTGCTGTAATTGAGAAATAATTATAAAGCAAGAAATCAGTGAGGCGCCTTACCCCCAGAGGCATAGCTTCGTTTATGGTATCTAGTTTCCTTGACTCCTTTGTTAAAACTGGTAGAATGTAGCATTTCCCTGGTGGTGCAATGGGTTAAGACGCAACCTATGAAACTATCCGCAGCCACTGTAGCACGAGTTCAATCCCCAGCCAGGTAGCTACCCACATGGCGCAGCAGACCTCTCCTGACTCGCCCGCTGCTCCCCTCAGCAGTGTACGTTGGTCAGTCTGCCTGTTCTGTTCCCCACTCTGTCTGGTGAAACACACACACACACACACACACACTGGCCTGTACCCCAGCTCTTGTATACATAAATAAATAAATCTTAAAAAAAAAAACTGGTAGGGCCTCCCCGGTGGCGCAGCGGTTGAGCGCTGGGTTGCGAAGCTACCCGCGGCCTCTGCAGCGCCAGTTCGATCTCCGGTTGCTCCCCGGCCACCGAAGGAGGGTCCCACATAGCGCGCAGACCTCTCCTGCCGCCCGCTGCTCCCCTAAGCAGTGTACCTTGGTCCTTCTGCCTGCTCTGCTCCCCGCTCTGGCTCTGGTGAACTCTCTCACCCTCCCGCGCTTCTGACTGTACCCAGTGCATGTATAAACAAACAAACAAATAAAACATGCCTCTATTAAAAAAAAAAAAAAAAAGTTTAAAAAAAAAAAAAACTGGTAGAGTGTAAATTGTGAATAGAGAAATAAATATGGGGCCATTTTACTGTTGGGCTGTTTCTTCCTGGGGTGGCAGCACTAAATTTGTTTTCTACTGGTTCTCCAGTAATTATCTGGATTTCATTCTATACTCTTGGCAGACTCACTGACCAAACAATAATAACATCAAACTTATAGCAATGATTTTTAACACATGTGCCTGCTTTCTTTGTTTGATTTATGAGCAAACTTGAAAAGAGACTACTTTTTTTCCTACCAGATAGCCTCCAAGCTGGCAGATGCAATACATACTGTGTAAGTACCTGGGGAGGGAGGCTCAGAAGATGCATGGGCACCACCACTTCTGGTTTCAAAGTTTGAACAGAAAGTTGGGGCATTAATTCTCTTCCACGTAGATATTTAGCAATAATCTAGACCCTATGCTAGTCAGAAGGCTGAGGTTCTCTGAGTCTCGACTCTGTTATATCACCACTGGTGACGAAGTGGTTCAGATGGTTGAAAAGAATGCCAAGTCCACACTGTTTCAAGAGCCCACCCACTCTGGCCATTCCCAAAGAGGCCCCATTGGTTGCCACAGAGTTATAATCAGGAAATGAATAACCCAGAATTTGCCCGGCAGACTCTTTGGAAGCAGAGCTTTTGGAAGCCAGCACTCAAACATTTGTTGAATTAAGGGTAGACCGAATTTCATTAATCCTCCTTCCTACTAAATCACTGTGGCAAGGCAGTAGCCAGTGAGATTTTTTGGTAGAGCTAACGTTTTCAAGAAAAGTAATTTAGTCCTGTAGTTATTCTGTTCTAGACACTTGTCATATTTCATATTCTTAAAAAAGGCTCTGCTGTACTTTGCAAAATAGGCATACTTCCTTAAAAGAATATATTTAGAGATTTGACATACCCAGTCCCATTTTATATCAACTTGAGAGCTTTCTTTAAATGCTTCATAAAACGAGGTATTATTTCCTGAAGTTATAAATGGTCTCCCTTACCAACCCATGTGTTATCCCAGATTGTCATATGACGTTAGCTTGACTGGGGGATAACTGTGCTTGCACTGAAACTTAGGGTCCGGACCCCTTACCTCCGACATCGCTGTGGCTGAGCTGACCACCATGAGGCATGTGGGCACTGCCACACTGGCCTCACCTGTACCTGCTCAGTGTTTGTTCAGCAATTTAAAGAGAAGAAAAAAAGGAAACAAAACTTAAAGTCTAGTTTTTTTTAAGAGTGTACTCCACTGATTGTGAGGGCAGGATGCCCTCCTGAAGGGATCAGCGGTACTAGTAGATAAACACCCTGAAGCATTATACAACATAGATAACCAAAAGTCTAAGTGGTGGCTGTATGTAGAGTTTAGATAGAAGCAGGTTGTCAGTATGGGAGCAGCAGATTCCTAAAGGGCAGTTTATCTTCATATTAAACAACCTCACTTAGAATACAAGGAGGAGAAAAGTAACACAAGTTATGAATACAGCACTTTTATTGCAAAGTATACATTGAAACATTATAGAGGCAGCCTTCATATGATTATAATAAACTGCCACCCTCTAGGATTTTCTTCTTCTAGAGTATTTTAACATTAAACTGGGCCACTAAGTGCCCCTGGGGTCCAGAATTTTACCTATGAAGAGAAGGGCCCCTGTATCCGTGTCCCTCAGTACAAAAATAAAAGGTTGGTTAAGGTGATAGTCCAGGGGGAAAGTGAGGCGGGCAGCCTGGAACCCCGGGCTGGGGCTGGTGCCTGCTCCATCCTCACTCCACTCGAAGACAGCACGATGTTCCACTTGAGTAAGCTTGATAGGTTTGCCTGTGATCTTGCTAAAGTCTGGTGAATCAAACAAGGATTGTAGCTCTGCAGAGATTGAGAGAGTTTCATTAAAACCATGCCTTACCTAACACCCCATGGAAGAGTACAGTCCTGATTTTTTTTAAAAAAATTTACTTTCATTTATGCATATAAGAACTGGGGTGTAGGTCAGAGGTGCGGGGGGTAAGAGGATTCACCAGAGACAGAATGGGGAGCACAACAGGAGGATCTACTGAAATACATTGCTGCGGGGAGCAGCAGGTGAGACAGGAGAGGTCTGCTGTGCCATGTGGGTAGCTCCCTGGCCAGAGATCGAGCTTATGCTGCAGTGGCTGCAGATAGCTTCATAGTGCTGCAACTTAACCCCTTGCACCACCAGGGAGAACCCCTAGTCCTGATTCTTAACTTTAAGATTTTTATTTATGCATATAAGAGCTGGGATACAGGCCAGAGGTGTGGGGAGTGAGAGGATTCACCATAGACAGAGTGGGGCAGACTGACTGAAATACACTGCTGAGGGGAGCAGCAGGTGAGTCAGGAGAGGTCTACTGTGCCATGTGGATAACTCCCTGGCCGGCGAGGGATCGAACTCATGCTACAGAGGCTGCAGACAGCTTCACGGTGCTGTGCTCTACCCCTTGTTCCACCAGGGAGGCCCCTGATTCTTAACTCTTGATTCTCAAGATGATAAGCAAGCTAAAAGTAGGACACAACTTGTGCTCTTTTGTGAGGTGTATAGAGCTCTGGGTTAAGGTTTAAGTGACTTGCCCAAGAACATATAGCCAGATTAGACCAGTCTTGAGAGGCAATGTCATAGTTCCTGTTACAGGAAACTTGCTCATGGGGCTGAGAAATGAGTCTGATATGGAAGACAGTTCAGAGTTCCCCTCCAGCATTATCAGAATTAAGCGATCATCTCTGGGCTCCGTACAAGGCCATGAGGCCCTTGAGCTCAGCTTGGCAAAGTGGAAGGCCTAAAGACTTGATCCCGCCTACCCCAAGAGCCTAAGGGTCTTGCAAACATACTCATCTCTTGCAGGGACTTGGTGACTTCGCCTTCGAAACTCAGCTTCAGCTTAGGAATGGTCAGAACTGCTTGAACAGTCTTCAGTTCTCTGTCTATGTCATGAATGAACTCAGCGGTGAGGCTTTCTTCTATCAGTGTCAAGTTCTGGGTCACTTTCAGAGGCAGGAAGAAGATAATACTCATGCTTCCAGTCAGAGGCAGCTGGGCAATCTGAAACAACAGGGAGGAAATGCATGGTTACTCCTGAGGCACACCCACAGCCCCAAGCTGCCTTCTCTTCTCAGGTAGTGCCCTGGCCTTGCTTTCCCTGCCCCAATCTAACAATTGCCCCTCAAGGCTACTGTTTTGGGGCCACAGGACATCTACTGATATTCCTCCCCAAAGTAGGCTGTTGCATTTCTGACCTCAGCCTAGAGGTAAGAAAGCATTTTCTCCTGTGGTTCTAAGGAACTAGAACTGATTTCCAGGGTTATGTTTTCTCCCAAGGTTTGTCTGCCGACAATTTTCAATCATCTGTTACGTATAGAGCCCTGGGCTAGAAAAGCAGGTGTTGCGCACAGCAACACAGAAGCATAAAATGAGTCTTATGAACAAAGGTTCTTAACCTAAGGTTCATGGGACAAATGGTATCAGGGGTCCCGGTAATCATATACAGAAGTATGTGCATGTGTTCACATGCATTTCCTTTTGTCAGATTCCTAAAAAAAAAGAAGAAGAACTACTGACTTAGAATTAAAAGTAAGTCAGGTGTATGTGAAAGACTTAGAATGCCACTACTTTGGCATTTGTGATGGGTTTTGAACATTTGGCAGAAAGAGAATATAAAGGAAAGTGGAAGACAAGAAATCATCGACATTTCTCATTACCTTTTTAATCCTTATAGAAACCCTGAAAGGATAAGTTTATCCCCTTTCATTTTAAGAAGACAGGGCGGCTATTAGCTTGCTGAAAAGAACTGAGCACTAAAATTTGACAGATGTCGAGTCTCAAGGGTCTCAGAGTCCATTCTATTCCCACTACACTATTCTGTCTTGTCTCTGTCCTTGCTCCCCACCTACCACCCACCCCACCCCTACAGACCTTGCAACTGAGATCAGAATCCAAGCCATAGCGTAAAAGGGCCTTAGGGTCTGACATCATGGGGACTCTTACAGTCCTCTCCTCATCCAAGTGGAAATCAGCCAGGGAAGTCTTTCTGGAGTCAAACTTGGTTACCCACTGCCCTGGAATGAAACAAATGGAGTGTCCTGAGCTCCAGAAGACCAGATGGGCAGTGGAACAAGGATGTCAATGAAACTTGCCTACATGGCTAAAGGAATCTTAGTAACCAGGGGTCCTGACACGCCAAGGAATAGCTTTATCTCAGAATGTGTGGGCTGACCCGTAATAGTCTAGGATCCTGGATACCATCTGCAAATGAACTCAGAAGGAAATATGTTGATTTTATCAATTTGAATGTCTGGGTTATACAAATTCTATAATAGACCAGAAGAAGGTAAACAGGCGTATACTTCTACAGTGGTGTGTATGGAAGATAGGATCAAAGGAGGTCAGAGCTAGAAAGGTCCTTGACATCATCTTATCCCCCTCTCAGATGAAAAAGCACTGGAGCCCAGAGAGGTGAAGCAGCCTGCCAATGCTCACACAGTGTGGTGATGACCAAGCTTCTTTAGTTTAAGGTGGCCTTTAACATGCTGGTCTGTAACTGCCTCTTTCGTTCCCTGGAGATCAGTGCCTCAAGTAGGAAGGCATTGGGCTTTTCTCTAGGAGTTTAGGGGTTCAGTCTCACTCTGCCTGATAGATGGTTATAAAGTACTTCTAGAGGAGGTTGCCAAAACCTACCCAACACTTCTCTGGCATGGGACTGACCTCACACTGAGCCCTGGGGATTGTTGGGCATACCACCACAGCCTAGCGGAAGAGTGTTGTAGCACTAACAGCAGTCTGCTGAGGACCTGCTGTGTCCCAGACACAGTGCCAGTGTTGATGTTAAGATGGGAGACAACTAGACAGTGCCTCTGAAGTCAGTGTATTGTCCACATGTTAGAGATTAAAAAATAGGCCCAGAAAGGCTATGAAGCTGTGCAGGGTGCTCCAGCCCATAAAGGCAAAGCTGGGCTCTGAGTCTGACTCCAGTCAGAATTCTTCTGATGTCCCCCCGCTCCACGCAGGCCCAGTAGCAGCAGTGCTTTCTCCCTCTCTGCTCGGCTTGGTCCAAGGCCTGTTCTGTTAGGTGAACACTTATCAAATGTTTGCCTTGGATTTGAATACAAGCAAATTGCACGTATCCGATACTCCTCTGCCTTCACCTCTGGGTTCATGGTGAACCAGTTCTTTGACATACCTTCTTTTCCCAGCCCCCGTAACACCCGCCAGCCACCCCTGGTCAAGAGAAGTAGCAAAGCCCTCACCCTTGAAATAAGCCACCCCAAAAAGGAGAACACTGATTCCAGTGGGCATTTCCCGTGTGGACCTAGCAATTTTCCCTTTCATCTGGGCCTGCACCCAGTTGTTCATTTCCTGAAGGTCCATGCGAGAGTTTCCAGTCAGGATCCTGGGCCTGGTCCCGTAGGACTTTTCCAGTGGTGCAACAAAACTCGATTTTATCCGCAGCTCTGGGAAGAAATGGAGCAGGGGTTAGGTACTCTGAAAGCTAGACATGCAAGCATAACCTCTTTGAGAGCATGCCAACCTTAGGTCCTAGTTTACCACTCAGCAGGCCCTGACTTCCTGCCTAGCTTCTCCCTGTGACTTGCCAGGACTTTATGCCAGCATCCCCAAGCACTGGACAAGGAACAACAGATTTGGCTCATTGCTGTTTCTTGCCACGTTAACTGCCCTCCCCAGCTCTCCCACTGTCTCTTTCAGCCCACTTCCTTTCTGACCCTCTTTGGGCTCATGGGGTCCCACACATGCCAGGCCTGGCCTGGGCAGACAGACTCTGTTGTTGAAACCCCCTATGTGAAGAATGGGGCCCCACTCCCCTCAGGCAGCCCCAGCTAGCAGGCCAACTCACTTCTTTCAAAGATGATTCGGGAAGCACTCCTAAAGTTCTTCTGGGGTGCAGTGACAGAAGCAAGGAGTTCCTTGTAGGTGCCATGAATGTCTGGGTTGCTGATCAGGTCATAGTAGAGAGCTCGGTGAAGGGTGGATTCTGTCCGCTGTTCCGCTCCTGCCAGAGAAAGAATATGAGTGCCATAATTTCCCACCAGGCCCTCCCCCAGAACAGGACAGGAACGATACACTCTTAGTGTTTTTGTCTGCTGATATCAGAAACATTCTCTGTGGGCAAGGATTTTGAAGACAATGGAAGAAAAATCAATTTTCCTAAATTAAGCTAAAGGCATCAGGCATAGAGAGAACTGTGAGTGTGGGACTGAGGACTTCGAGCCTTACTGTTTTGTAGTTACCTGTTTATTAGTTTCCCTGTGAACTCATCTGTGACCTTAGCGAGGGCAGAGACCATGCCTGCTTGTGTACAGTTAAATCCCCAGAATCTTGCCAGATGGCTGCCTGTGAAAGCTTGTTTAAGGAATGAATGAGTGTGGAAGTCGCCATGTCAATAAACAATCCCAAGGTCGCACACCCATGTGAGGAGTGCCCTCCCAGGGGACAAGGGATTGTGTGCACAGCCTTCGAATCCCACCCCTACGCTCAGTAGGGGCCCCTCCCTGAACTCAAGTGTCTCTAGGACTTAGAGAGCCATACATGTGCAGTTGCTGGATGCTGGGGCTTTCTGCATTGGAGAACTCACCCAGTGAAAGGGCAGAAAATGCTGTGGCCACACTGAGTGGAGACAGGAGCACGTTGGCAGTAGGACTCCCACTAGATCTCACGCGGTACAGGTCATAGCCAAAATTGGAGACAGCCGCTGCCAGCTTATTTACAGGGACCTTGTAGAAGGGATCTTCCTCTTCCACTGGCACCCCTGTGGTGTCTGGGGTCAGAGATCCCTGGGTTTGAGTACAAGAACCAGTGGAGATAAGCATTGGATGACTGCTCTCATCACTCTGCGTGGGATTGTCATTCTGGGCCCCTTAGGGACGTCCTGAGTACAGCATGTTTAACCTACTGTTGGAATGAGTTTGCACTCCCTGAGCATGCAGTTGCTCTCTGCTGGGGAGAAGCAACCCAGGAGATTAGTAGGTCAGCTTTAAACACTTGGAAACTGTGAGCCTATGACACACTTTAAAAAAATAAAAAAAAGACACCCTCCCCTTCCCAAGAAATCCTATTCTCAGGCCAGCCCAGGTTTCCTGTCTGCTCCCCCTGTACACTGCTTCCATGTTTCTTCCTAGACCCTCATATCAAATGCCCCTGTCATTCATGGCCCTTGTAGAAGGGATCATTGTAGAAGGGATTCATGGCCCTGGTCAGATATCACTTCCACCCCAAACTTGCCATGGATCACCCCAGTCGAGGCCACATTTTGGTTTTATGACCTTTTTTTCAGTCAGCTACCAATTGCTCATTAACCACCTTCCATATGCACACTGGGTGCTAGTTCTCTTCATTTTACTTTGTTTCATGCTTGTTTGATGTATTTGTCTAATACCCCAAAGACTAACACCTCAAAAGACTAATATCTCAAAAAATATCCATGAAGGCAAGAAATGAGTCTTATTATTTCCATACATCCCCAGCGCCTACAGAATAGGTGTTCAGTAGATGAAAAATAAGTGACTGGCCACAATGGCCCTATAAGAATGAGCATTTTTAACTCCATTTTGGGGTAAAAGTGACTTGCTTACTGTCACAAAGCTGGTGAGAGGCAGTCAGAATTCAAACTCAGAACTCAAGACTCAGTCCAGGGTTCCAGCCAGTGTGGTGTGCCCCAGTCTCCCTGGTCCCTGGAGTAACAGTCACCCTCCACTGTCACATAGCACCGGCTTCTCTCCTAGCATCAGCATTTACCTTTGCAGCCTGCCTCTGCTCCCTCTGGACAGAAAAGAGGTCTTTCCACACTATTACATCTCAGCTGTGCCCTGGCCGGTATCAGTGTGTGTCCAAGACCGTCACCCACTCAGTGAGACCCACAAGGAATGCAAAGCAATGAGAAAGGGTTTTCATAGAAGGGACAGTCCCACGCTGGCTAAAGTGTTTTTGCTTTTTCCCTCTCTTTTTAGTCTTATTTTTGTCCCTAAGCAAGACATTATCTATTTTGCTGATGGAGAAACAAACACCCTGTCTAGATATAAAGGGTCAGACCCTGCTCCGGAGCCTGAGTGTCCAGCTGCCTGTCCTGTCTGCCATGGGTTTGCGTGCACATGTACATGCACACATGCACACACACACCACATCCACACTGACCTCCTCCAGGCTGCCAGCATTGTTCTGGCAGCTGCCATACCCAAGGAGGGCTCCAGTCCAGAGAAGTAGCATGAGGGCCTGCATCCTGGACCTGCAAGAAAGTAAGAGACAGTAAGATGTTTCCCTCAGCCACCACCCTGCACCACCAAGACACCCTGGGCAGGGACCAGGGACTTGCCAGAACCAGGCACCTGTCCACCAGCCTCCCCATGCTGTGGACACTCAACTTGATAGAACTTTCTCAGCAACTGCTCACCCCGCCACCCACCTTCCAGCCCACAGTCACGTGATGAGCTTGTGCATTCATCCCATTGTCAGCCTCAGGAGACCCACCTTCCAGCCTAAAGCTCCAGAACAGTGAAGATCCAACAGTCGACTCCTCTGTGTAGGACATGTTGGGATACATATGCACACTAGGCTTTTCCCTGGACTACCTGACCAGCTCCTTATAGAGGATTTGGGGCAATATCTACTAACAAAACAGGGGCTGAATCTGAGCCTCTCAGAATATAGAGGACAGAGGCATCCGGTCCAGCCCTGGACTGGAAACTGCAGCCTCATGAAGAAGCTCATTCTCTTCTCAGTTCTGTGAAAAGCTCTTACTCTCATAGTTAGGGGTAATGGGTCTTGGGACAGAAATCCTGGGTTCAAATCTCAATTGTCTTAATAGCTCTCTAAATCACAATGTTTTCTCTTGTAAAATAGAAATCAAATAGTTCTAACCTACTGTGATCAGGATTAAATTAGATGATGTCTTATTAGCACTTAACAGTCTCCAATGAGCTGAAAAGTGTCTCCCCATAACTGGAACCTTAAGACCCTCTTCCCCTATGGGGCAGATCATCTTCCCCACCAGCTGGAAAATTGCTTTTATGCCATGCCCTAGGAATCTTCTTTCCTGGAAGTTAAACACAACCCCCTTCCTAATAAGACCACCCAAGTCTCTTCACTTCCCTAGAAGATGCCAGGCTCCTAGGGAAAAGGGAAATCTGGGTGCTGGCCCCCATTGTGCGACACCACCACTTATGCCTCCCTGCATTCACTACTTCTCTCTGCCCTGGAGTCAGGATATAGGGGTGAAGTGGGATAAGACAGCTAGAAATCACAGATAAGATCTTCCAAGAGGCCCCTGCTTAAAAAGTGAGAAAAGGTGCCTCCCTGGTGGCACAGGGGTTAAAGACACAGCACTATGAAGCTATCACCAGCCACTGCAGCATGAGTTTGATCCCTGGCCAGGGAAGTGACACACATGGCGCAGCAGACCTCTCCTGTCTCACCCGCTGCTCCCCTCAGCAATGTATTTCAGTCAATCTGCCTGTTCTGCTCCCCACTCTGTCTCTGGTGAACACACACACACACACACACACCCTGCACCTCAGGCCTACACCCCAGCTCTTGTATGCATAAATAAATAAATCTTTTTTTTAAAAAAAAGTGGAGACAAGGTC